GCATATAGTTTGAACATTCGAAAATTTATTAGAAGCAGTCAGTCATAATTTCCTGATACAGCTCATATTTTTGTGTATTTTAATAAAGACAAACCATATCAACAATATGTTAATTTGAGTAGAAGAAATTCAATTTTTTTTTAAATAAGATCTTGAATTTGAATCTTGTAAATAAAAAAACAGGCATTATGAAAGTTTTATTTTAATAAGTTCAACGCAACTCGATTCGAATTAATCGAGAACTAATGTGATTATCAAATATCGAAAGATTAATAAAAAAATAAATAAAAACAGATTATAAAAGTCAGATTTTGTTAGGTTAAATATTTAGTATACAACTTTTTTATATAAAAAAAGTATTTTATTACATAAAAAGGGACTATAGAAGTCAGATTTTTATAGGTTAAATATTTAATATATAATTTTTTATATATAAAAATATTTTATTTTATTTTATAATTTAAACGGTATTAAATTATAAAATAAAAATTATTAAATAAAAAAAGACAATTCTCGGATATTAAGTAAGTAGCCTAGGAAACTCTCCCATCCAATGATCTTGGAGTTTGTTTATAAGTTTTTTCCAATGCTTAGTTAACGTGATTGGTACTATTTATGTGCACATGCTCTACGTAACAAACCATAACTATGAAGATAATTTAGGAGAAAATGAAAGATTTCTCTTTTTTATTCATATTACGTACGTAGAAAGCTACAGCTCTCTCTTTACATACAAAGCTCAATTATAGAGCCGAGTACTTACTTACTCAGTACAAAACTACATCATACGGTAACGCCACACTCTTCTTTATAACGTTACGTTATTCGCCTTCGCATATCTTATTTAGAACAAGCGTGCAATATCCAGGATATTGGAAGACAAGCGGTTTTCCCTCTTATCTTCATCTTCATCTTCATCTTCCTCCTGCTGCTTCTGTTGAGAGGAGGACACAAAATAGGATTCCTCCTGGTTGTTGAACACCTCCTGCACCAATTTTGCTGGAACCCCAAACGACAGCTCCTGCGCCTCCCTTTCCATGTTTTTCACGACGTTGTTTCGTCCCGCAAGGAAGATTCTGCGGTTGTTCTCCGCGTTGATTCCGAATCCGATTGCCTTCAGGTTCTTGCTCTCGGAGTTAATCCAGGTCACCGGACAGTCTGCAGGCAGAACGACGACGTCTCCGGCATTTGCTTTGACAGTCACCCTCTGGTACTGTCCACTTCTCTGTTCTTGTTCTTTTTCTTTGTATTCTTCATCATCTTCTTCTTGTTCTTCACTCTGTTCTTCCTGTCTCTTTCTTGGAAGCTGAGGGATAATTATTTCGATATCTACTGATCCTTTTTTGATTAGAACAACCATAGTTTGCCTGGAATTGTAGTGTGGAACAAAGATCGAATTCTGCAGAAATTATGAGAAATTTTACGATGATTCTGTGGATAATGATATATAAAAAGATAAGGAATTTGTTGAATCGTCTCTATTTTTTCAAGTACCTTATTCATTTGAAGAGCAAAAAGAGAGACACCCATGTTGCGGAGCAGCCTGAATCTTGCAGGGGAAGCCTCAAAGCAGCGGCCGTTTTCGTTGGAGTACAAAGGCTCCTGGTTCAGTAGCTCAATCAGAGACGAAGACTCGCTATGCCTTGGTGAAGAAGAATCATCTGCGCTCAGTGCACTAAGTTGCTCTTGTGAGGCACTCCTCATCATTCCCTTCTCCTTCTGCCTACTACACAACTTCTTTATCTCATCTTTTTGGGTCTAGGAAGAATTAAAAAAACAAAATTAAACCCAGAATCATTACAGAAGAATTTGATTGTTGTAAAAGGAAAAATAAGAATTGATGTATATATATACATTCAAGGAGGGTTCGAGAACTCTAGTGCTGAAGTATTTCCAATAAGCCTCAGGTTGTTCATTTCCGCTAAAAAAGAATTCCTGAAACCAAAAAATATGTAATTTTAGAAAAATTTGTAAAAGAAGAAGAGAGGATAAAGAGTTAAAGAGCAGAGGATAGATGTGTTGAAGTTGAAGTTGAAGCGGGTCACCTGAGTATGGCCGGGAACATTGACAGGTTCTCTGAGAGCGGCGATGACTAACTTCTTCCCTCTTTCTGCGTTTACAAGATACACGGTAGTCCCCGCCGGAACCCTAACTGCGTTTCCAATTTTCAGATAGAAGGACTGCCTTCCTTTATCGGTCACTAAGGTGATTGTTCCCTGACCTGTGGCAGAGAGAGAATACAAAGTGTTTGAGAAAATATTCAAATGAATCTTTTCCGACGAAGAAGATCTAAATCTGGCATATCTTACCATCTGCAACAATATAAATAGCTTCAGAATCGGAGTGATGTGGGAAAACAAAGGCGTTGGGATTTGCCTCTAGGATGGAGAATCGGTAGTCTCCAATGCCGCTGAGAAGTGGAGATCTCAGGTTGAACCTTGGAACATGCATCAAGCGGCCGTGTTCGGAGCTGAATCGGCATTGGAACGTTTGTGATCGGAAGAGGAAAGGATTGTTGCTCTGTTGCTCTTGTTCTGATTCACCGCTTTCTTCTTGGCAGAGACCTCGAGACTTGTCGTGGCGTCTCTCCCCCTCCCGTTGTTCTCGCTCCTTTATACTTTTCTCACACTGCTGCTGGCATAGCTGCCTCCGGCTATGCTCTTGTTCCTTTTGGCATCGCCGCTGGCAATACTCGCGCTCCCCCAATGGACTCTCGGGGTTACTCTCAGTAAGCGACTCTGAAAGCTCATTCCTCGGGCTACGAAGGTGAAAACCCAGAGAGAGGAAAGCAGAGGAAAGGAAGAGAGTGAGGAGTAAGAGCAAAACAGAGGACTTAAAGGTAGCCATGATTGCTTATAGAAAGGAAGCTTGGTTTGTGTCGATGGGTGATGGAAAGGCGAAGAGAAGTGGGTATTTATAGGAGGAGGAGGGCCAAGTTCCGCATGTAATGTGAAGGCAACGTGTTGAGGAACTTACATGCAGGGTGACGGGTGTTGCTGTAATGGGACGAGGTTTTTCTTCTCTTTTTGAGTAGCAATGTCGTGGTATCACGTGTGTTCACGTGGTACTAGGGTAGGGACAACAGTTCATTTTGGTTGGATTATCTTTTGTTATGTGGCGAAGCGATATGGTGTTTCGTGTTTTTTTGAAATGACTAAATTTAACTTTTTGTTTATTAATTATTATTAGATTTTTATTTTAACTTAAAAAGTTTAGTTTTTTTAAAA